AGAACATGCACCCTTCCTTTAAGGACTATTCCTGGAAGTTCCATACACCATTTCTGCCTGCGTTCTCATTAATCAGAACTTAGCCATGTGACCATATGTAACTGCAAGGAAGTCTGGGAAATGTGATGTTAATTATGAAGCTAATATTCAGGGCTACTGTTAATGAGGAAGAAGGGGAGGCAAATTGGGGGATCATCAGCTGGAATGGATCTTTGACCCCTGGGTTGACCCCAGCCTCTCTAGCTAGCCCTCCTTTAATGTGACACTTAGTTTCTCCAGATGGGGATCTGGATATCTGTCAGGTCAGCCTGACTTCTTGTACTCTGGGACCATCGGACTGGGAAGGTTTCAGAGCCTTCACTTCCCTGCTGTAAACTTGATCTTGCCAGTTGACATCGCCAAAGATTGACTCAGTAAAGATTCTCCATTTCCCAGAGGATGTTTTTCCAACTAGTGCAAAGAGGAAGTTCCAGCTGTGAGGACAAGAATTGCGGGTGGGGGTGAGGGTGTTGAAATGCAATGATTGTTAGTAACAATCAATCAAACAACCTCACAGGACAATGGAGAAAAAGCCAGCTCTGAAGGATGCTGTGTGGAACAAGGATGCCTGTGACAAGAGGCAATGTGGCTCAACTGCAACATGGCCAGGCCCCTGAGACAGCAAGGGACTTTGTAACTAGATTTTACTGCCTGCAGTAAAAATCCTGCCAAAACGCATTCAGGAACGTGCGGGGAGATGTGTATTCATTATTATGCCCCTAGCAGCTATCACAGGAAACCATCTGGGCTCAGTTGGCCTATAAATTTTCAACTTGCAGTTAGGTGGGCTACAGGGAACCAGCCAAGCAGGAAGTCAAGGTGTGAAGTGGATCTGGCAGGTTCCACACACAGAGCTAGCTTAGAAAGTTGCCATTCATGGCAGTTATTTTTCTTTTAAAATTTTTATTGTGAAATATATCACACGTACAGAAAAGTGCATAAAACGAATGTACATTTAAACAAGTTATTATAAAGTAATATTCTATGTAACAATCACCCAAGTCAAGAAACAGGGCATTGCCGGCCCTCCAGAAGCCTCACATGTGTCCCTTCCTAATGACAATGTCCTCTTCCCCACAGAGAAACAATCCTAACATTAATGAGTATAGCTTCCTTGCCTCACTTTACTGTTTTGTCATTTAAGTATTCACACCAAAGCAACATAATTTCATTAGCCTGCTTTTGAACTTTATATAATTGTACAGAATCATAAGAGTCCCTGGGTGGCGCAAACAGTTAAGAACTTGACTACTAGCCAAACAGTTGGTGGTTCAAACCCACTCAGAGGCACCTCAGAACACAGACTTGGCGATTTGCTTCTGAAAGGTCGCAGCCTTGTAAACCCTATGGAGCAACTCTACTCTTCATATATGGGGTCACCATGAGTTGGAATCAACTTGATGGCAACCAACCACGTAGAATCACAGCGTCCATATTCTATTTTGTCTGACTTTTCTTTTTTTGCTCAATTTTTAAAAAATATTTATCCATATTGCATGAGGCTGTAGTTTGTTCATTTTCCTTACTGAATATTTTTCCATTTATCTTTTTTACTGTTCCTAAACATTTTGGTTGTTTCCGGTTTGGGATTATTACAAAATGATGCTGCTATGGACATGCTCATACATATATCCTTGCACACATATGTATGAGCTTCTCTACAGTTGGTTCTCAAACTGGAGTGTGAATGAAAATAGTTGGAGAACTTGCTAAAATGCAGATTCCTGGCCCTTGCCCCTAGAGATTCTGATTCAGTAAGTCTAGGGTGGGTCCCATAAATGTGTATTTCCAACAAATTCCTAAGTGATAATGATGCTGCTGACCCCTGAGCCACACTGCTCCAGAGCAGGGGCTGGCAAACTATAGCCCACGTGCCAAATCAGGCACACCACCAGTTTTTGTATAGTCCATGAGCTAAGAATGGCTTCTACGTTTTTAAATGGTTGGAAAAAAATCCGAAGGATATTTTGTGACATGTAAAAATTATACAAAATTCAAATTTCAGTGAATATACATGAAGTTTTATTGGCACACAGCCAAGCCTATTTCTTCGTGTATTGCCTATGGTTGCTTTATTGCTCAGCAGAGTTGAGAAGTTATGATAGAGTCCCACAAAGGCTAAAATACTTACTTTTGGCCATTTACAGAAAAAATTTTCTGACCCCTGAAGTAGAGTATTATTTTGAGTGAAATTAGTATGTTATAGGATATGCCTTTTTCACACCTTTAGTAGATAATGACAATTTTCCAGTTTACATCCATTTTATATTTCCCTAAGCAATGGATAAAAGTTCCTGTTGCTCTACATTCTTGCCAACATTTTATTTTGTCAGATTTATAATTTTAATCAATGGGTTGGGTGTGAAGTGGTATTCCATTGTGGGTTTAATTTGCATTTCCCTGGTTACTAATAGATTTTAAGCACATTTTCAAATGTTTATTGGCCATTTGGACTTCCACTTTAGGACATCTCTGTAAAAATCATTTGCCCCTTTTTCTGTTGGGTTATCTGTTCTTTTCTCTACATAATTCTGGATACATTCCTTTGTTATTTGTATGTGTTGCAATTGTTTTCTCCCAGTCTGGGGCTTGCCTTTTCTCTTGTGATATATCTTTTGATGAACAGAAGTTTTTGATGTTCGTGTAGTCAAACTTATCAAAGTTTTTTGTGTGTTGCTTTAAGAAATCTTTCCTTATCTTGAGATCTTGAAGATATTATCCTATGTTATTTTTTAAAAGCTTCATTATTTTACCTTTCACATTTAGGTCTTAGTGTACTCCAAATTGACCTCTTCTGCATGGCGTGAGGTAGAGATCCAGTCCCATTTTATGGGTACTCAATTGTTCCAACATCATTTATTAAAAGACCACACTTCCCCTCACTGCTCTGCAGGGCTACTTTCGTCATAAAGCAAACTCCATTTATGCATGGATCTGTTTCTGGGCTCTCTCTTCTATTTCCTTGATCTACTGGTCTATCCTGGTGCTAATACCACATACACTTAATTAATATAACTTTGTCTGTGTTGAAATATAGTAAATCTTCCCACCTTTTTCTTCTCTTTTTCAACAGTGTTTTAGCTAATTTTTTCACAAAGAACGTGAAGTTGACTGACAGTAAAAAGTCACTACTTACTGATAGCAGGGTCAATTAGTACAACCTCTTAGAACAACTTATACTTTAGCCCCGTAATTCCATTTCTGGGAATCTATCTCAAGAAAATATCCAAAATAAAAATTCAAAACAGGGGAGAAGTGTTTGACTCAACAAACATTCAGCACTCACTTTTTGTCAGAGATACTATACTGGAGATACTGTGATGAGGAAACCATTACTGTTTTTCAGAAGCTTCAAGTCTAGTTAGGGGAGACAGCCATAGAAATAGGCCATTTCAACGCAATGTGGTAAATACTCAGATGGAAGCAGGTATAAACACTACATGCACAAAAATGTTCATCCCAGCATTATTTTTAATAGGGGGAAATTAGAAACAACTTAAATGTAAGGCAATAGAGGAATGAATAAGTAAATTATGGTACATGCAAATGACAGAATATTTTACAATTATTAAAATAAAGATTGTAGCAACATGAATAAATGATTTTAATATACTGTTAAGTGAAAACAAGAGCAGGATACAGTGCCTCAAGGAAAAAATAATTACATCTGTAGAAAAAAATAGATACATTAGATACATTAGAAAAAATATTTGAAGGAAATATAACAAAATGAAAGGAGCCCTGCTGGCTCAGTGGTTAAGTGCTTGGCTGCTAAGTGAAACACTGGCGGTTTGAATCCAGCAGTGGCTCTGCAGGAGAAGAGAGCTGACACTCTGCTCCTATAAAGATTACAGCCTGGCAAACTCTATGGGGCAGTTCTACTCTGTCCTACAGGATTACTATGAGTCAGAATCAACTCAATAGCAGTGGGTTTGGTTTTGTGTTTGGTTATACCAAAATGATAATAGTTATGAATATGGGTGATTGTCATGGTTTGAATTACGTCCCCCAGAAAACGTGTGCATCAATTTAGCTAGGCCATGATTCTCAGTGTTGTGTGGTTGTCCTCCATTTTGTGATTGTAAGTTTACATTAAAGAGGATTAGTGTGGGATTGTAACACCACCCTAACCCAGGTCACATCCCTGATCCAATGTAAAGGGAGTTTCCCTGGGGTGTGGCCTGCATCATCTTTTATCTCTTGTAAGAGATAAAAGGAAAGGGAAACAAGTGGAGAATCAGGGGAACTCATACCACCAAAAAAGCAGTGCCAGGAGCAGAGCATGTTCTTTGGACCCGGGGTCTCTGCGCAGAGAAGCTCCTAGTCTGAGGGAATATCGATGAGAAGGCCAACAGAGAGAGAAAGCCTTCCCCTGGAGCTGACGCCCTGAATTTGGACTTCTAGCTTAGTAGACTGAGAAAATAAATTTCTCTTTGTGAAAGCCATCCACTAGTGGTATTTCTGTTGGAGCAGCACTAGGTGACTAAGACAGGTGATTTTTTTTCTATTCCCCAAACTTTCAATAATGTAATTATATAAATTTACAGTAAAATTATGAGTAAAAAAGCTACTTCCTATTGCCAACTCCATTTTTCAAGTACCTGCCATGTGCCATACTGCCTGCTTTCACTTGCTCCAGAACTGTGGAGTCTTTCAGAGGGAAGCCAGTTCAAGGATGGTTAAAGTATGGTTTTGCTTAGAAGAAGGAGGCAGTGGTAGCTCAGTGATAGAATTCTTCCCTTCCATGTGGGAGGCCTGAGTTCAATTCCCAGCCAATGCACCTCATGTGCAACCACCACCCATCTGCCAGTGGAGGCTTGCGTGTTGCTATGATGCTGAACAGGTCTCAGCAGAGCTTCCAGACTAAGACAGACTAGGAAGAAAGGCCTAGAAATCTACTTCTGAAAGTCAGCCAGTGAAAACCCTATGGAGCACAAGGGAACATTGTCTGATCTGCAACTTATCATGGGGATGGTGAGTCCGGGCAGCGTGTCGTTCCTCTATAAACAACAACCGCCTAGAAGAAAATCGATCATTAGCTTTAATGACCCCTGGGGCCTGGTGACTCTGATTCTCAACCCCAGTTCACACTAACTAGCTGTGTGATCTTCGATGGTGACACAATCCCTCTGAGTCCCATCTTATTCTTCTGTAAAATGCAACAAATAGAGCCCACCTCATAGACTGTTGGGTTGATTAATGAGGTAATATATACCCCGCGTCTGGCAAAAAGTAGGTACTTGTTGATTTATTTTCCTCCACCCAAAGACACAGGAACTTTAAAAAGCCCTGGCCTTTTCCTGTCACTCGGCCTCTGGTTATTGTCCTGGGTGTAATGGAGTGGAAAACTCTATACACAGCTCCCTCTGACAGTGGATTTCTAATCTCAGAAAACTTAATGGTTTTTGTCAACCTGATTGTCCAGCGAGAGAGGATTAGGAGAATGACTTCCCTTGTCAAGGGAAACTTGACTTGCTTTGAAGCGTTTTGCCCGGTGCCAGTGGGACGCATGATCGATACAACACGGTCCTAAATACTTACCCGTGGTTTTGGGGCTGGGGACAAAGGTTGAAAATTCCATTTAAGTACTTTCAGCCATTTCCAAGTTGACCTGGGTGTGATGTGCATAAGTGGTTCAGGCTGGTGACTCGGAGCTCTGCAGTCTAAGGGGCAGACCAGAAACGGAGCAGTTGCTTTCTCCTGGCCAGAGATGCAGGGGCCCTCTGGCTCTGGCTCAGGCTGGAGTTATGTCTTTTCTGCTCCAGTTTTCCTGTCAGCAGAAGGAAGGTGCATTAGTTACTGTCTGCACTGCGTGCCTTGCTTTTTCTATTGTCGGGACTTCCCATACACTATGCACTGGGGCCAAAAATGGGTGGGGACTACAAATGGAAACTTGGTTCCAACCCCCCTACTCATTGCCAGCCCACCGCCTGGAGGCCGTACGTTGCCTTGGGCAGTTCTGGTACCAGGTTACACTCTACAGCAGATGGAACTGAGGGGCAGACCTCCACCAAAATTTAGCTATGTCCGGGGAGACTCTCTCCATCCTGGAGAGCAAAACAAAGCCCTGTTTTATTTGAGGTACTTAAAACTATATTGCTTACTTGGGGAGGTTGCCCCTGACCTTTCAGATGTGGTCAAGTCCCCTGTACTTTTCCTTCATGATATGCATCCTAATTGGAAATAAATCACTATCTAAGTTCACTAGAATGTAAGCTCCATGAAGGCAAAGGTGTTTGCCTGTTTTGTTCACTGCTGATCCTCAGTGCCTAGAACCATTTCTGGCACATAATAGGTGCTCATTAATATTTGTTGTATACAGTAGTTAATAAATCTATACAATTACTTGTTTATTGACTAGAAACTCCATGAAAGAAGGACCTGTGTATGTCTTATTTACCATGTATCCTTAGTACTTAGAACAGGGCCAAGCACACAGTATACCACCCAACACCAGTTGCCACCAAGTGAATTACAACTCGTGGTGACCCCATGAGTGGTGCAAATGTTTAACATGCTCAGCTGCTAATCTAAAGGTTGGAGGTTCAAGTCCACCCAGAGGCTCCTTGGAAGAAAGGCCAGGTGATCAACAACTTCTGAAAAATCAGCCATCGCAAACACGATGGAGTACGGTTCTACTCTGACACACATGGGGTCACCGTGGCAAGCAGTAGGCACTCAATAAACAATGAAGGGATAGAAAAGTACTTAATATGTTCTATGCTGAATTAATTTAAAATTGTTGATATTAATTTTAATTATTAAAGTAATTAAATCACAATACGGTTATTTTAGAAAAAAAAGAATAAAGTAAAAGACACATCTTCTATTACTATCACCCCTCTTATATAGCTGCTTTTATTATTTTCATGTTCTTCCTTTCAGAGTTTTTCACTTGTGTATTTTATACATAATTTTAATCGGGTTATTTCAAGCACGCACACACAGAAACACACACCAACAACTGTTCAGGTGGCAGGGAGTTCTATGAATTTAAGAGCAGGAAGGGAGGCCTGAATGAATAACGGCTTTCTTATTGTTATATTTAATTGTTGGTCCTGCAGTGGGATTGATAGCATCATGGGAACTGCTAGTGAGAATCATGCTCTCCAAAGGTTCACCCCTGGGGTCAGCACAAATCTGGCTATGGAAAAAATGTGCAGTTAGCAATAGTCCACAGGAAAATGCTTTATTTTTATCCTCACAAATCAGGGAAACTTTCTGTGGCAGCTGCTACACCTAAGACAGTTATACACGCTGCACTGGACTTCGTGGTTCAGGGTTCATTTGTGAGCCTTTTTTATTTGGATCAGTATGTGGCAATCAACGCAGTTTCTATCTTTAGTCCCTGGTGATGCAGTGCCAACAAGTAGTGATTTCTACTGTAATTATAGAAGTGAGGAAACCACTATATAATCTTAAAAACAAATCAAAACCTTGTTCTGTTATATTCAAAATATGGTTCTAAATATTTCAAGGGGAAGCTTTCTGTAAGAAGCAGCCTGTCAGAGTAGAAAGCCTCTTGGCTTACAAGGAGGAAAATTCACACAAATTTCTTATTGATAAATAAGGTAGGCAGGAAGATGAGTAAGCAAATTACTCACCTACTGCTAGGGTACTTGTTCTGAAGGTTGGATACAGACTCTGGAAAAGAGGTGCGCCTTGAGCTTAATCTTTTGTCTTTTGTCTATTTTTCCTGTTTCTGAGTTGGAATAGAAAACAGGAGTAAGGGGTGGGGATAGGGGCATTATCTGAGATTAACAAGGCAGCAATCCTTCAGGAGATGGCTTAGCCGAAGGCAGACGAACTGGGTGCTGGTTCTAGTACTACACTCACCTTCGAGTATGAAACTTGTCACCTTACTGGGTGCTGGGGATGATGACAACCTGGCACTGCTTTCACAGGGCTATTAGGAGGATCAAATAAATTCCCATCTGGGTACACCAATGTTCATTTCAGCATTATTCACAATAGTCAAAAGGTGGAAACAGCCTAATGTCCATCAACAGATGAATGGATAAACAAAATGTGGCACATACGTTGTCATGGATTGAATTGTGTCCCCCAAAATATGTGTCAACTTGGCTAGGCCATGATTCCCGGTATTGTGTGGTCGTCCACCATTTTGTGATCTGATCTGATAATCCCATGTGTAGTAAATCCTAACTTCTATGATGTTAACAGGGTCCCTGGTGGCATAGTGATTAAGAGCTCTGCTGCTAACCAAAATGTCAGCAGTTCAAACCTACCAGCCACTCCTTGGAAACCCTATGGGCAGTTCTACTCTGTCCTATAAGGTCACTATGAGTTGGAACCGACTCAATGGCACCTAATAACAACAACATGATGTTAATGAGGCAGGATTAGAGGCAGTTATGTTAATGAGGCAGGACTTAATCTACAGGGTTAGGTTGTATCTTGAATGAATCTCTCTTGAGATATAAAAGAGAGAAGTGAGCAGAGAGGATAGGGACCTTGTTACCACCAATTAAGAAGAGCCAGGAGCGGAGTGCATCTTTTTGGACCCAGGGTCTCTGCACTGAGAAGCTCCTAGACCGGGGAAGATTGATGATAAGGACCTTCCTCCAGAGCTGACAGAGAAAGAAAGCCTTATCCTGGAGCCGACACCCTGGGTTTGGATTTGTAGCCTCCTAAACTGTGAGAGAATAAATTTTTGTTTGTTAAAGCGATTCACTTGTGGTATTTCTGTAATAGCAGCACTAGAAACTAAGAGATACATACAATGGAAAATTATTCAGTCATAAAGAGAAATGATGTACTGATGCATGCTAGAACATGGATGAACCTTGAAAACATTATGCGAAGTGAAATAAGTCAGTCACGAAAGGACAGATATTGTATGAGCCACTTATATGAAATATCTAGAATAGGCAATTGTACGGAGACAAAGTTTATTAGTAGTTACCAGGGGTGGACAGGAGGGAGGGGAAAAGGGGTACTCGTTGCTTAGAAGACACTGAACTTCTGTTTCCAATTGTTTTCATCACCCTTAATAGAAACGCAGTGTCCCTTAAGCAGTAACTCCCCTTTCCCTTCGCTCCTGCCCCTGGTAATCACTAATAAACTTTGGTCTCTATACACTTACCTATTCCAGGTATTTCATATAAGTGGGATCATATAATATTTGTCCTTTTGTCTCTGATTTATTTCACTCTGCATAATGTTTTCAAGGTTCATCCATGCCATAGCATATATCACAACTTCATTTCTCTTTATGGCTGAATAATATTCCATTGCATATATATACCACCTTCTGTTGATGGACATTTGGGTTGTTTCCAACTTTTGGCTATTGTGAATAGTGCTGCAGTGAATATTTGTGTTTGTGTCCCTGTTTTCAAGTCTTTTGGGCATATACCCAGGAGTGGAATTGATGGCAATTTTATGTTAAACCTTTTTTAGGAACTGCCAGACTTTTCCACAGTGGCTATACCATTTCACATTCCCAGCAGCAATGAATGAGGGTCCCAATTTCTCCACATCCTTACCGTTGTTTTCAGGTTTTCTGATAATAGCCACCCTAGTGGAGGTGAAAGGAGCCCTGGTGGCCCAACAATTAAGCGCTTGGCTGTTAACCTAAAGGTTGGCAGCTGGAACCCACCCAGTGCTTCTGTGGGAGAAAGGCCTGGGGATCTGCTCCCATAAAGATTATAACCTAGAAAATCCTATGGGGCCATTCTACCCTGCCACATGGGGTTGCTATGAGTTGTAAATCGACTGGATGGCACCTAACAACACAGCAGTGGAGGTGAAGTGGCATCTCGTTGTGGTTGGATTTGCATTTACCTAACGACTAATGAACATCTTTTCATATGCTTATTGGTCATTGGTATATTTTCTTTGACGCAATGTCTGTTCAATCCTTTGCCCATTTTTTAATTGGGTTCTTTGTCTTTTTATTGTTGAGTTATTGAAGTTTGTTATATATTCTGGATATTAAATCTTTACCAGATGGGGCTGTGTTCTTAACCTCTACATTATAGTGCTTAGTTTTAGAAGAAGAGGCTCAGGTCTTATAAAGGGCTTACGCAGAGTTGGGGGACAGTCCCAGGTGGAAAATGCCAAAACAAAGGAAAAGCATCATCAGGAATTGGGAACAGGTTGTCATGCTTGACCTCACACAGAGATTAGGCTCAGCCAATGCCACAAACAGGGAGACAGTCAGAGCACAAGTGCTCAGAATCAGGTTGCCACGGCCGGCGCCAAGGTGAGCAAGGCACGGCCAGAGAGAAAGGTGATCTTCCAGGAGGCAAGTGACCTGGCTCCTTAAGTACAGGTGTCTCTTTCTTCCTGTGTGTATCTCGGCTCACAGTCCAGGTCCTTTGTACTTGTAGACTCTAAACCTCAAAGCATTAAGCAGAGAAGTTCACTGTGGGTTGGGAGTGAAGGGACAGAGGTGGTCTGCTGGGGCTCAGAGACCACTTCAAAATATTTCCTCAGCTGAATGCCGCCATGGGGTCACGCAAGGCTGGGGGACTCATTGGGAGATTTAAAGTATATACAGGGATAAGAGAACATGGGAAGCAACAAAAAAGCAAATTAGAAGAAAAGGGGGACAAGGGCAGCAAAGAGAAAACAGGCAAGCATAGTGGGAGGTCAGGGACTTGTGCTATGACATTTACAATCGTTGCCCCTCAGCACTGCCCCTGAACAACCTGTGCCAGGAGGGAACCTGGGGCGACAAGCTGTGCCTGATGACTTGGGCTTCTTTCCCCAGTTTGACCACTCTTTGTAACGAGTTTTGAGTACAAAATGTCTCTCCCTAGGCAGGAAGAGTTTCAGTAATAAGGCACTCAGAGTTAGTTATGACACTCAAGTTAAAAGCCTCTTGCAGGAAGGAAATATTTTTTTTTTATGTCATCATAAAACTGCCCAGATCACCTAGCCTTGCTATGGAAATGGTGCCTCTGAGGACAGAGGAGAGATAGAGCATCTGACCTGAAGCTGAGACAAAAGAGAAAGTCAGGGAATTCATGCCCTCTCTCAGCCAGGGAAAGGAGCCCTGGTGGTGCAGTGGTTAAGCACTCAGCTGCTAACCAAAAGGTTGCTGGCTTGAATCCACCAGCTGCTCTGTGGGAGAAAGATGTGGCAGCCTGCTTCTGTAAAGATTACAGCCTTGGAAACCCTATGGGGGCAGTTCTATTCTGTCCCATAGGGTTGCTGTGAGTCAGAATTCAACTCATTGGCGATGTGTTTTTGGTTCTCAGCCAGGTAGTCAAACTTGCTTTTCTGCTGTGCCAAAGTTAACAAGAAGCAACAGACAATGAGTTGGGGAGGAAAAGGACAGTCCCAGGTGGAAAATGCCAAACCAAAAGAGGAGCATCATCAAGAGTTGGGAACAGGTTGTCAGGCTGGTCTTAACACAGAGACTAGGCTTAGTCAATGCCACAAACCGAGAGAAAGATGAGAGCCCCTGGGCTGGCCAAGCCCTGTTCAGAGGAATGAAGCCCATGAAGCCTTCCCAGAGACAGGTCCTCTCTCCAGCCCTGGCCTCCCACCTTGATGTCCCCTCCAGGGAGGGTGTTTGTCCATGTGCCAAAGGGCAGCTGTCCTGAACTCACTGCTTAGCTGGAGCTCCTTGTCCTAGATCCCGTCCAAAGGAAGCAAATGCAGGTCTGCCAGGCTGGGTGCACAGACCATCCACTCAAACGAGAGGCTTCCCAGCTCTGGAGTCAGGGAGATGTCTGTTGAAGCATCACTTTGCCATTTTCTAGCTGGGTCACCTTGGATGACTGCACATCCCTGAGCCTCAGTTTCTCATCTGTAAATTGGAAGGGAAAGCACCCATCACGCAACGCTCTGAAGATCAGAGAAGATGAATGTAAAACACCAGACAGAGCTCCAGCCATTGGAACTGTAAGTATTATTAAACAATTGTCCCACACAGAGGCTTAATGGTAGTGTTCAAGAAACTTTCCTTCCAGACACTCACCTTTGGGAGTCTTTCTTACACAGGCCCTAAAGTCACAGAGATGAATGAGACAGGTGCCTGCCCTCAAGGGCACACAGTGAGCAGGGGAGCAAGACAGGCAAACACCACACTAGAATCAGTGCGAAAAGTGTTATGGTGGATGATTGGGCAGCTTTGGGGGCTCTCAGGAGAAAGCAGTGTCCACCGAGGGCGGAAGTTGTCGTTTGATCTAGGCCTTGAAGAGTGAGCAGTATTTCAGTAGATGGGAAGTTATCCATACAGGAAGGGCATTTTAGGAAGAGGGAGTAGCATGAACAAAAGTATGGAGACAGGAAATGACCCAGAATACTGGGAATCCCCTGAGTGGTCTGAGGGGCTAGAGAATATGGTCCATGATGGGGAGTGGCAGGAGGGGATAAACGTAAGTTGGACAAAACTTTGTTATTGTTGGTAGTTGTCATCAAGTTGATTCCAAGTGATGGCGACTCCGTGCGTTATAAGTAGAACTGCTCCGTAGAGTTTTCTTGTCTATCATCTTAATGCACAGCTCAAGAAGACAGAGTAAAGTGTTATAATAAAACACGTAAAGACCTGGAGTGAGAAAACCAAAAGGGAAGAATATTCTCAGCATTTCTCAAGCTGAAAGAAATAGTGCTGCTATAACAGGAATATCACAAGTGGATGGCTTTAACAAACAGAAATTTATTCTCTCACAGTATAGGAGACTAGGAATCTAAAGTCAGAGTGCCAGCTCCAGGGGAAGGCTTTCTTTCTGTGTCAGCTCTGGGGGAAGGTTCTTGTCATCAATCTTCCCCTGGACTAGGAGCTTCTTAGCACAGGGACCCTGGGTCCAAAGGACACACTCACTCCTTGCTCTCCTTGCTCAGTGGTGATGAGGGCCCCACCCTTTATGCTCATTTCTCTCTTTTATATCCCAAAAGAGATTGACTAAAGATACAACCTAATCCTGTAGATTGAGTCCTTCCTCATTAGCATAACTGCCTTTAATCCTGCCTCATTAACATCATAGAGGTTAGGATTTACAACACATAGGATAATCACAACAGATCACAAAATGGTGGACAACCACACAATACTGGGATTCATGGCCTAGCTAAGTTGACACACATTTTTGGCGACACAATACAATCCCTAACAAGTTGCAATATTGAAGGATTCTGTGGGTAAAATATTGAACAACACAGGAAGCATCAAAAGAAGATGGAAGGAATACGTACAGTGACTGCGCCAAAAAGAATTGGTTGATGTTCAATCATTTCAGAAGATAGCATATGATCCAGAAACAATGGTACTGAAGGAAGAAGTCCAAGCTGCAAAGAAGGCACTGGCGAAAAACATGCCTCCAGGAATTGACAGAATACCAACTGAGATGTTTCAACAAACGGATGCAGTACTGGAGGTGTTCACTCGACTATACCAAGAAACTTGGAAGAGAGCTATCTGGCCAACCGATGCATATTTGTGCCCATTCCAAAGAAAGGTAACCCAACAGAATGTGGAAATTATCAAACAATATCAGTAACATCACATGCAAGTAAAATTTTACTGAAGATAATTCAAAAGTTGTTGCGCAGTACATCGACAGGCAATTGCCAGAAATTCAAGCCAGATTCAGAAGAGGATGTGGAACCAGGGATATCATTGCTGATGTCAGATAGATCTTGGCTGAATGCAGAGAATACCAGAAAGATGTTTACCTGTGTTTTACTGACTATGCAAAGGCATTCGAGTGTGTGGATCATAACACATTATAGATATCATTGCAAAGAATGAGAATTCCAGAATGCTTAACTGTGCTCATGCAGAACCTGTACGTAGACCAAGAGTCAGTTGTTAGAACAGAACAAGGGGATACTCTGTGTTTTAAAATCAGGAAAGGTGTGCATCATGGTTGCATCCCTTCCCTTCACCATATTTATTCAATCTGTCTGCTGAGCAAATAATCCAAGAAACTGGACTATATGAAGAAGAACAGGGCATCAGGACTTGAGGGAGACTCATTGAGAACTTGCAGTAAGCAGATAATACAACCTTGCTTGCAGAAATCGAAGAGGATTTGAAGGACTTACTGATGAAGATCAAAAACTACGGCCTTCAATATAGATTACACCACAACATAAAGAAAACAAAAATCCTCACAACTGGACCAATAGGCAACATCATGATAAACAGAGAAAAGATCGAAGTTGTCAAGGATTTCATTTTACTTGGATCCACAATCAATGCCCACGGAGGCATCAGTCAAGAAGTCAAATGACATATTGCAGTGGGCAAATCTGCTGCAAAAGACCTCTTGAAAATGTTGAAAAGCAAAGATATCAGTTTGAAGACTAAGGTGCGCCTGGCCCAAGCCATGGTATCGCCACATGAGAAAGCTGGGCAATGAATAAGACCAAAGAAGAATTGACGTCTTCGAATTATAGTGTTGGTGAAGAATATTGAATATACCATGGACTTCCATAAGAACAAACAAATCTGTCTTGGAAGAAGTACAGCCAGAATGCTCCTTAGAAGCGAGGATGGCGAGACTTTGTCTCATGTACTTTGGACATGTTATCAGGAGGGACCAGTCCCTAGAAAAGGACATCATGCTTGGTAAAGTAGAGGGTCAGTAAAGAGAGGAAGACCCTTATGGAGATGGATTGACATAGTGGCTGCGATGATGGGCTCAAGCATAGCAATGATTGTGAGGATGGCACAGGACTGGGCAGTGTTTCGTTCTGTTGTACATAGGGTCACTATGAGTTGGAACAGACTCTACGGGGCACCTAACAACAACATCAACAATCTTAATAGAAGCAGATTGCCAGGACTTTAGAAGTGACTAATATAACTGAAAGTGAGCTCATTGAACAATGCTGTCCAAAATGATATTGAGGGATAATGGAAATGTTCTATATCCCCACTGTCCAATATGGTAGCCACTGGCCACATGTGGCTATTGAGCACTTAAAATGAAGCTAGTATGCCTAAGGAACTGATTTTTACTTAATTTTAATTAATTTAAATATAAATTTAAAAAGCCACTTGTGGCCAGTGGCTACCATATTGGATAACACAGCCATGAAACGTATGTATTACAATGACTTCCAATATTAAGAGGGAGCCCTCAAGGCCTGCACCTTGCAGTGTACCGTCAGTTCATAAAACAGAAGCTCCCACCCAGGCTGATGCTGTGTTTGTGCAGCCAAGAGGGTAAGTTGGGACTAAAATACAACTGGTGCAAATTGAGCACCCTACCTAGAGGAAGGGGCAGCTTTTTCTAATTCTTACAAAGCATCATATGGGCTAGCAACAGCCCTGCTTCCTCTAAAGTTTCTGTGTCTCAGTGGTCTGCCTGCAGATGGAGTCAGCTTTCCTCTCTGCTCCTGCTTCCTGGAGCTGCTGTGACAGGTGAGCATACCTGGGTCATGGCCCAGATGAACCCTCTTGGGCACTGAGGCAGCAATTCTCCCACAAGTTAAGGAGGCCAGATCCTTGGTATGGCTATTGGCATAAGGTTCTGATCTGCAGCCCTAACTCCGTCCACAAGGAGGTCCCTTGGCCTAAACCTGGGAGAAGGTAATAAGGGTCCCCTACTTTGGTCACAGGTTGAAAGCGCAATCATCATTCAGCTTTACTAGCAATAAAGCTAACAGCATAGTTTAATTCTGACTTGGCTTCTTTATCTATTTAACAGTTGATTCTAATGCAAATGGGAAGAGGAAAAGTAAACAATTATACTCCTACAGAACGCCCCTCCCAACTAAAACGACATGGACACACTTTCCAGTCTTGTGCAAAAACAGTGAGATATTCATGAGCTGACATATCCTTTCATGAGGTACTTGCTCTAAAACATAATTACAGGCTGTCAGAGTTGGAAGGAATACTGAATTCTAAAATCTCATTGTAAAATGAGGAAACTTGGGTCCCACAGAAGATTTTTTTTTTGTATATTTATAATTTATTTAATTTTTATTGTTGTGGAGAATATACACAGCAGAACATACACCAGGATCCCACAGAAGTTTGATGGCCTGCTCAGGGCCACGCAGATATCAGAGGCAGGTATGACCGGAGCTCAGTCCTCCTGACTCAATCCAGTTCCAATCATAAAACGCAGCCAGAGGTTGCAAACTGGTGGCCTTTGGTTGAATTCAGCTTGTTTATTTATTTACTTATTTTAAGTCGACAGTGTTGGCCCAGACAGAGTTTTAAAAATATTGTTAAATTAGTTGCCTGTCCTTAAAAACTAGAAGAATTCACTTTGAAATGCAGATTAGCTATCATTTCTGGGCCTGGAGACCCACATGGCAGCAATGGGCTGGGGCTAAGTAGTGTCTGATCCTAACACACAGAGGGGTAAAGAGGAGGAATGAGAGATGCCGATCATTTCAGAAGCTGATATTCCAAATCTGTCAAGCTGGATCACAAAGTCACATAAGGTGCTGTTTATAAGTTCGGTTCATACTTCATTAGTGCTTTTTATAAGGACGTAGAGTTTCAGTTTGGAGATGTTTAAATACAATATAGATCTTAGAGATTTTGTTGAGCCAATTCATTTTACAGATGAGCATTTATATAAAACCCATGACTTCACCAGCCTGCAGATAGAAAAAGGTCTCAGGGGCAGTCCCCGTGCAGGATCTCCCGGCTCTGGCTCTGTGGAGACTCCAGACCCATCAGATTCCCCTCAGATCGTTTTGGGAGCAAATCTTCAGGTATGTTTCTTGTGGCTCACATGTATTGAGGGCACTGATTTATGAATCATAGGCACTGATGCCTAACCTGGCACATAATAGGCATTCAATAAATGTGATGAACGAATGAATGAATCAGTGAATGACCTCAAAACCTAGTGCTGCTTTCCAAAGCCAAGAAGACTGAAACTGGCCCTGTAGGGACTGTCTTCTGAAGCCACCAGTGCCATCTTTGCTCACAGCCAAGCAGCTGGCACCAATGCCTTGTGTATTGCTGTCCAACAGTATTTCAGAGAAGCCTTTGATTCCGTTTTCACTGCCTCTCTTGTTACAGCACTCTTGCTCTAGGACTCTACTGGGAGCCCCAGAGCCATCCTCAGAAACGCCTCTGCCCTCACTTCACTGTTGTCCAATGTCCTTGGGGATGAAACAAATGTCCCTCAACTTTGCCTCTCCTTGGGACAAGTTGTCTTGAGAAGAAACTTGGTCCTGCAGGTAATTAGGTCCTAGGGTTGAGAGGCTTCCCCACAGGCCCTCCAGATTGGTTCAGAATGTCTGGACCCAGCTTAAACTACCTCGTCTATTACGTAAGATTATAACGCATTGGAAAGAATTTGGCATGTGCTTCGCTGTTGCCTGCTAGAGTGGTGTGGGGTTCTTGTATAGCATTTGCTAGTCTCCACTTGATAAGAGGTCATTGCTGGTCTTGGCCATCCTCCCTGAAATGTGCTCTGCTACCTTGATCTCCTTTGCTAGTTGAAAGCTTTCTCTCTGTAAACATCAACTGGCTGGAGAGAAATCTCCATAGTGGAAATATCTTTTTAATGTTGAAAAATTAAGCCCCAGAATGCATTTTGGGACAGAGGAGCAATAAATTACAACTTACTGAGTGCTTATTATGTGCCAGCAATTATACTAATTATATATATTATATAATAATAATATATAATAGATTGTATATTCTATATTGTATATTTTATTAAGAAGTCCCTGGGTGGTGCAAACAGTTAAGAACTCAGCTACTACCCAAAAGTTGGCGGTTTGTCTACCCAGAGGTGCCTCAGAAGAACAGCCTGGCAATCTACTTCTAAAAACTCAGCCATTGAAAACCCTATGAAGTACAGTTCTTCTCGGACACACTTGCAGTCTCCATGAGTCACAATCAACTCAACAGCATCTGGAATATTTTATGAAATTTATATATATTATATATTTCATTAAATTTAATTACGTATTATATATCTTATTAAATTCTTGAAACAGCCTTGACAGGATTTACAACCTCCATGTATAGATGAAAAGCAGAGGTGAAGAGAGTAAGTGGCTTGACCAAGTAAGGGACTGAGCTAGAATTCAAACCCAGGTTTTTCTACCCACAAAGTTAGTGTTCTTTTTCTTAGTGTTGCCCCTCCAGAGAGACTATTTTTTTCTTTAAGGCATCCCAAATCTTATAATTACAGCTGGCCTTCTCTGTGCTATCACCACAGGGGTCTCATAAAATGCCAGATTCCCACCATCTTCTGAGACTGCATAGTGCACATACAATTAACCCGGGGAGCATACTGTTTGCACAATCCTTGTACAGAGAAAACATTATCCCAAAACTTCAGTTAGCCTGAGGCAAATGCCATCTGATCACCCAGTCCAAGACTCAGCCTCAAACCTTCTGCAGGGTGTCACTCTAAAGATAACCCAAAAGGCCTCACAGCTTCCTGGTTGGTAAAACAACAACTACAGTAGCAGGAATTGAGACCTAAAGATCAGTAGAGTAGAAATGAGGAAGGAAATGGCATGCTAAATGACTATTTTCCCCAACTTGCCCTGTTCTTTCTAGATAGAGCCCCAGAACCTGAGTAATGATAGTGGGATCATTAAATTGATCAAACACTGAAAGATTTCTATCGATTTCAAGGCTTCTCAAACCTCTATGTACTTTGAAGTCTGGGATGCAGTCGGATTCCTCAGAGATTTACGCTCCTATCTTTGAGAATTGTTAGGCTGGTTTGACACAGATACTCATTCAGGAGGCCTTTACAAAGCTGCAATATAAACTGTCCAGGGCCCAGCAATAAAGAAAGTTGTGTCATTATAGTTCTCTGCCCTTCAGAAGATCTGCTCTTAATACCCTCCTCTTTTTTTTTCCTCCCCCTTTTCTGATTCAATTAAATTTGTTGCCACTTTATTTTTTTCTTTCTCCCATGCTTCCTTCCTTTTTCTACTTTAGATCAAAGAGCCTCCCCATTTCTTCATTTCTGGATTTGCTCCCTGGAGTAAAAAGCAAGGCTAGCTTCCTTCCCACCTCCTGTTCCAGGCACACAGGGGGCTCCGTAGCCAGTGAAATTCCCCACCTCTAAGAGCCCATCATGATTTCATGCTCATGAGGTGACGTGGGAGAAAGGGTTAGTTTGATGTGGTTGAGTAAGCCATTGCCACATCTTCATATGCTAAGCCCCAAACCACTCTCCTCCTGCTCGTTACCCTCACTTTCCATTTCTTTGGATTATCTTTCATCTGAGTACCACTAACCTTCACATCCTCAAGCAAGGCTGAAGCTGGGGCAGAAGGGTGGTACATTTCCTTTTCTGGTTGAACTACTGTCTGCTGCGGGTAACCTATTCCAGTCCAGGCTTATTACAGGGAACAAGAAAAACAGAAAGCAAGAGTGACCGGGGCTGCAAAGACTGTTGTTACATGGTTTCCCTTAAGCCCCAGAAATAGAAAGCCAGACTTCCGACTTACAGAGCCCCTGTGCAAACCACCAGACAACACTGCCAGATAAGAAAAATGTTAGATTGTGTCATACTGCCTTCATCAGCTCCAGTTTCTGAAAACGGCCTTGAATTTCAGAGAGCCTAGCCATGACCCTAAGATTTAGAGAAAGTTGAAGAGGCAGGAACAAAGGGGTCAGGCATCTGTCTTTTTTCTGGTGCAAATTTGCTTTCTACCACTGAAGTAAAGGAAAGATCATGAACGATTAGCCATGAGCTAACTTTCTGGTTGGCGTGTACAAGAGAGGGAAACGTGAACTAGACATCAACAGGCACTGAGGAAGGGAAACCACTAGCTAGTTGTGTGTCCTTGGGACTTTCAACTCGTATGTGTTCGCTTACCGAGTACCTACTACGTGCCAGGCACCGCGCTTGGTGCTGCAGATACACAGAGGAACAAGATACCTCCTTGCAAAATGAGAAGGCTGGACTAGATGCAGATTCAACTGGATTCCAACTCTTGTGCCCACCACCACCATCACCACCATGGAAATCATTTTGCTTGACTCTCCCAGAGCAGCCTCAGCAGCGCCAGTGTTGTCAGCCGCTGCAGGAACCGTGATGGCCGGGGTGTTGACAGGCTCTAATTGGAAGGTAGGATGTGCTGCCAGAGATCAGCTATAAGTGATACCTTTGGACCAGGGTGGGCTGCTAGTGCTTGGAAGAGACTCAGAGGTGTAGCCTGGTGAGCTGTCACCCTGGGCTAGGGCCTGGCCCAGCAGACAGACGACTCATGTGGGGAGTAGGGGGCGAGGGGTGGGGGGAGACAGGTGACAGACACTGCCGCATTAGGAAGCAGCCATTTCAGGGTATGAAATGTGTGGATGGCAACAACAGCATGCAAACCAAGGCTTTAGCAGTCAGCGAGCTCATTAGGGGGTGGAGTACAAGGAAAAGAGAGCTTGTAGTGGCTCCAGAGCCCAGGATCAAAAAAGCAGGGCTGGGAGAACAGCTGATAAAGCTTTGTGGTGACAACAGAGAACTGAGAGACAGGAGACTCCTTATATTGAACCAAAAAAGAACCAAGTACTTGTGAGTGACTTCTGCACGCCTGTAACTGCTCTAGGCCCTGAGGTGCTCCAAAGAAGAGCCAAGTTAGAATTCACCATCTAATGAAGAGATAGCAAATCCATAGACTGAAATTAATGCTGGGTGAGAAAATCCTGCATGTGTAACGGACTACTGGCACTTGTGCAAGCTCTTTCCTTGCATGATCTCATTTAATCCACTCACCAATCCTGCAAGGTGAGTACTACTATCCCTGTTTTACAAATGAAGGTGCTGTGCTGAGGCTCTGAGAGGCTGCGTACCTTATCTAAGTATGTCTAGCTAGTAAGTGGAAGAGCTAGGATTCAAATCCAGGTCTGTGTGAGCTTTCTATAACAACCTGCAGCTCCCTTTGATGGGGATAGCACAGTCCTGCATTGAGCAGCGAGTTCCTAGGTGATGCAAACAGTTAATGTGCTTGGCCGATAACTGAAAGGTTGGAAGTTCGAGGAGATCTATTTCCAAAAAGTCAGCCATTGAAAGCCCTGTGGAGCACAGTTCTACTCTGACACACATGGGGTCGCCCTGAGTCAGGGTCAACTCAACAGCAACTGTTTGTTCTGTCGTTGCACTGGGCAAGAGGGAAAGTAAATACTGGTTAACAGTGCAGGGGAGAAGTTCAAAAGGAGGATCCATAGGAAGAAGAGGGAGCTCCGTGTGAACATGGTCGAAGGTAGCTTCTTGGAATAGGAGAGTCTGTTGGAAGTGGTTCAAAGCTGCAGATTGCAAGCCTTCTCCAAGTTCCGAGCCAGAGGATGAGGGTCTGAGTTAGGATCTGAGCCACGCAGCTCTAGCTATATTGCACAGAAGACCTCCCCTGAAGGCCTCGGGTTCCACACAGAGCACATCTGGCTTGAGAGAGCTCACTGTGAGGACGAAGGCTCCACCCTATCAGATAGACAGCCAGAGTTGAAGGCCCAGCCCCCCGAATCCTGCACACACTCGGAGGACAGCAACTGGCCATGAGCAGATGTGAGAAGGAAACACCCCCTCAGCCTTGGAGCCGGCTTTGCTGTCCACAAGGGCTTGTGGGTGTCTTGCCAGGGAGAGGAGGCAGCACAGACACTTGGCGCTAGGGTGCTAGGGCCTCCCGAGAAGGAACAGGTGCAAAACAGGGCAATTAGCAGAGAAGGCATCAGCGGGGCTGCAGCCTAGATCTGATTGAAGAAGCCACCGGGATTACATCATCTGCTGGTGAGTAGGCTCGATTAATTCTCTGATGAATGGAGTATTGGGAGGGAACTTTTTTCTTGTTTAAGGAGCCGGAAGAAGCAGTAATTAAATTTGTCTTTAAAAACAAAACCATTCTGAAGGAAGTGCGAGCCTTCAAGCTTCCCCCATGGTGTTCTGGGCACTCTGGCTTCTCTCTTCCAGAGAGGAAGTGTCTATTCATAGGCTGTGACTTGGAGAGGCCCCAGAGTGAGGCAGGCACTGCTTCGAGCATTTGCTAGTGTCTTCGGGAACTGCTAATTTACCCATCTGATTTGTTCCTCTACACCAGCCGCAAAGGGAGACCACTCAATTATTTTGATCCTGAAGAGAGGCTTGTGTTTACCACGATCTCCCCCCAGCAACCGCGTGTGTGGTATGTGTATGTGTGTGTGTTTGTGTGTTTGCACAACCACCTTCTGCAATGAGGATGTGGGGCCACTGCCCCCGCTGGCATTTCCAAAGACACTCCAATTCTGAACTGAGAGCAAGGATCGTAGAGAAGTGCCCTGGAGAGGGCTTGGCTCCCAGGGAAGTTATAACTTGAAGGGTGTCTTTAAAAACCCAAAGCAGATGGAGGGGGAAAGTGGCCACGACTTCCTTTCACTGCACAGAACCAATGAAGGGGAAAAAACAATTGGGAGTATTACTCCATGCCAAGCACTGTGCTTGGGTTTCACATATTTTGTTGACTTCTCACAACTACTCTTTGAAGAAGGTATTCCACTTTCATTATTCTGGAAAGTTCTTGCCCCAGTGTTTCTGTTTAGAGAAAACCCATTGTTCTTTAGGTTTCCATTGGAAATATTGCATCTTCTGTAAAACCTTTCCTGACTTTATCAGGTAAAATTAGTTATGCCCTCCTTTGTGCTCCCAAAGAATCATTATAGACTTTAGGGAGACGGCAGGCTCAACTTGCTCATCTGTAATACGGGGTGACAATAGCGTCACTGTGGGGAATAAATGAAATAAATCATGTAAGTGCTTGGACAGTGGCTGGCACTGAGTCGGCCCTTGCTGGCTGTTGTTGTTGTTAGTAACAATAATAATATTATAATCACTTACCACTAGGTTGTAAGTTCCTTGAGTGCAGGGACAGTGTCTGCTTTGTTAATTGTTTTATACCCAGATCCTAGGAGTGTTTGGCACACTGTAAGCACTCTATTTCTAGATGGCAAATGAGTGATCAAGTGAATGAAGTATTTTTGTCCTCCTTGCCTCTGTGAGCTCCTGAGAAGAGGCCCTTGACTGACTCATTTCTGTATCTCTAATATGTCCACAGTGTTTGGCACAATGGAAGTGTTCAGTGACTCTGTTGATTAAACAAGCAGGACTGGGGGCACTGCTATGTGGCAGGTACCTGGCCTGGAGAGTCTGGCTGCGTGCCCATCTCAGTGTTGTAGTTGGGCTGGTGGCTAGCTACCACATCCTGAATTCGATAAGTGTGCCCTCCTATCATCACCCTTAGACGGTGAGCTCCTCAAGGGTGGGAACCATGTTGTTTCTCAATCCTTAGTGCCCAGCACAGTGCCTGGCACACAGGAAATACTCAAGTACACAAGAAATACTACCCCTGGACTCTTAACTCCAGCTGGACTCAGACAAGAGCAGAGTCCAAAACGATTATATCATCTTCCCCTCTCATCACCCAAACCTGTTCTTCCACAGAATTTCCCCATTTCTATACATTAAAGACCCATTTTCTCAGTTACAAAGGACCAAAACTCCTTGGGAGTATTGCATCACTAACGAAAAAGAGTACAATCTTTGTGGTAAAACCATTCTGGGTTTGAATCCTGGCTTTGGCACCTGCTTAAGGTCCCTGAGTGGCACAAATGGTTTGCACTCGTCTCCTAACCTAAGGTTGGTGGTTTGAACCCACCCAGCAGTGCCATGAAAGCAAGGCCTGGTGATCTGCTTTTGTAAAGACTACAGCCAAGAAAGCCCTACTCTGTAACACACGCGGTCACTGTGAGTCAGAATCAATTTGATGGCAACAGGTTTTGTTTTGTTTTAGCTGTCCTGTCTGGATAAGTTTTTTACCCTTCCTGAACCTTACTTTTCCCTTTTGTCAAATCAGATAGAAGTTCCAGAGTTGGGCACAATATGTCACTCCCAGCAGAATGACTGAGGAAGTCAATTGTGTTCCCAATGGCAAATTGATTATAATGGACCCTTACCCCAGGTCCTCTGGACTGCCTGGTATGTCCAACCATGGTGGACACATGTACTTGTCTATTATTGGCTCATCCCTCCTGCCATGCTCCTTCAGATTCCATGATAATGGGTCTTATCAAGTCCATATTGATTCCATTCAGCCTCCTGGACATTATTGATTCTTATCAGGGCAGCCATTTCATAGCCCAAGCCACCCAGACCTGGGCACTCCAACAAGACATCCTCTGAAATTTCAGCCTATTGTATCAGCCCCAAGCAGCTGGTCTCATAAAACTCTATTATAGCATCTTAAAAACCACCCTTTTAAAGTGTTAAAGCTACAGATTGGCATGTGGATTCCCAAGTGGGCTTTTATTGCTCTTATGCTCCTCACTACCTGTCCCGATGGGCCCCTCACTCATACCAAAATGCCCTCAACACCCCTCCCCCATTCTGCCTTTCCTGGTTCTGACAGGAGATCCAGGCTCCAAGTCATGGATTTCCACATCCAACTGCCTGTTTCAAGCTCCCCCAACCCTACCTTTGTCAATTTGAGCACAATCCACAAAGAATTGGTGCCCAGACCAAGGAAGAATTATAAGCTGGACCCTGCTGGCAGGGACCTATCTATGGAAAATAGCACTGATGGCAATTAGTTTTAAATTGCTGAATGATCTCTCACTGCTGGTAATGGAAACTGTGATGACCAACAGAAACTGCTCATTAGCGCCCCTCCTCAAGTGGCGCTCTAGGCATGCGCCCTACCTGCTGTACCTTAGTTATGCCTCTGACTGCTGGTCAACAGCAAAACCTCTAACATACGTCTCTACTACCCTGCCTGGAAAGGAAGCACCACGACCACCTAAAGCATACTCCAGTTATGATGGATTTGAAGGCTGGCTAGTTCCAGATCTTCCCACAGGAGACAGAAGTATTGGCACCTGGACTGACACCTACCACCATGTGGATCTTGGAGAAAAGTGAAAGAGAACCTGGTTTCCAACACTAATACCCTATTGGTGTTGGACACCTACCAATATTCTATTGCCTGAGGCTATCTATTCTCCATCATTTGATGCTGAAGCATCAGCAGCCACTCACAGCTCTAAGATTCAGATGCCCCCTATTATTATAAATGGCAACCCCAAATGCTGCTGTGGAGCCTAAAAGCCCAGAAATGTTATTGTGGAACCTTTAAGTTGTCACTAGCTGGCTATGCCTGATATGGCTGATGATCTGGGCCTGAAATACAATCTCCCCTACTCAGTGCCAGGACACCTGGGCAATATTGCACCCACAGCGCTATCCCTATCTGTTTGGAATGTACAACTATTCCTCTGTAACACCACAGGCCAGGCATATGACATTATCCCAAGCAGCCATCAGGATAAACAAAAAAGAATGTGGTCCTGCATTTGTAGTCTGGCCTGGGCTACTTTACTATAGTAATGGTGCTCAATTGACAGCCCAGCATGGCTAAATGCACCCCCAGGCACTCATCCCACTTTGCACATCTTTAGGACAGCTTTCCGGATGTCAACCTATGCTCCGTAACATGGATCTGACTCAAGAGTTGTACTGGTCTGGGGAGCCAAGCACTGCATTCCAGTCAATGACCACAGCCCAGCCAACCACCACATCCCAGAGGTGAACTACCTGGTTACCTACATCATTTACCAAGGTTTCCCCTGCCAGAGTATGGAGTTCTTTCCCTCAGGGGACCCCCACTCCAACCTCCAAAATTTTAACTCCCTCTCCTCCCCCATTTTCCCCTTTAGGCACAATAGACCCCACTTTCACAACTACGCTTGCTTTTAGTCCTCTCACCCTAGGAAAACAGTCCCTGTTCCCACTTTTGCTATGACTTCCCTTCCTACAACTCCCAAAACAAGCCTACTGCTTAAGGCTATTCCCAGGCTAATCTGTAGATACTTATAGCCAAGGCCACATCCCAATGGCTGAACATCACACAATGTTGGGCCTACTATCTGCTTCTATGAGAAGGCTACCCCTTTATTCCCATCCTGCCTGCTGATGACCTTCAGGTCATGAAACAGGCCTATAATACCAAACACTACTGGTTTAAGCCCCTAGGTCTTGCCTTACCCTCTCCAGAGCCAGATTTATGGAACATTAATTGACATGATCATGTCCTTGACACATGAGTCTAGATCATTTACCTGTCCAAATACACTTGCCTATGTTCGTATGTTCCTAGGCCTATGTAACATGATGGGTGGCGTAGCCTTCCACTGGCCCAGATATTAAATGAGCAGTTAGAAGCCCTGGAGGAAATCTAGTTCATTTGTGCCACTTCCCCAGATAACTCCCTTCTGATGTCCCAACTACCTAGACCCACTCTTAGCAACCTCACCTGCACACTGCTCACTCTGACCATTTCCAACTACCCCCTGATTGGGCTCCACTGATTGTGGCCCCCATTTGGAGGCAACGAGCCATCTTCCTACCCATGGCCCTAGGTATAAGAGGGGCATTTTGGGCCAGATGAGTAGAATTAGGGGCTCACAATATGACTAATTAGTAACCAGTTGCCGTTGAGTTGATTGTGAATCATGGCAACCCCATGTGTGTCAGAGTAGAACTGTGCTCCATAGGGTTTTCAATGGCTGATTTTTTTGGAAGGAGATTGCCAGGCCTTTCTTCTGAGGCACCTCTGGGTGGACTTGAACCTCTAGCCTTTCAGTTAGCTGCTGGACACAGGAAATGTTTTTACCACCCAGGGACTCCTCACAATATGATTATACAAGGAAAAATAGCTGACACAGCAGAAGAAATATCCAAGGTTCTGTTGGCCTACATAACACAAACAGCGCCAGCACTTGGGGCTTTACCCAAAGGACAAAATTTCCTTATCTGCCAGACTGGCAGATAATAGACAAGTTCCAGGTGATTTGCTAGGTGCCCAGTGAGGAATATGTGCCCTCAAGGGAACTTTCTTTTATATGTGTATAAATAATGCAGGCAAAGTAATCTAAATAGCCCAAAAGATGCACCACCAAATCAAAAGTTAACGGTGGTTAGGCACCACTGAGTCGATTTCAACTTCTAGTGACCCTATAAGACAGAGTAGAACTGCCCCATACGGTTTTTTAGGCCGTAATCTCTATGGAAGGAGCCCTGGTGGAGCAGTGGTTAAGTGCTTCGCTGCTAACTGAAAGGTTGGTGATTCAAACTTACCAGCCGCTCTACAGGAGAAAAATGTGGCAGTCTGCTTCCTTAAAGATTACAGCCACGGAAACCCTGTGGGACAGTTCTACTCTGTCCTATAGGGTCTCTATGAGTCAGAATCCACTCGACAGGAACAGATTGCCAGGTCTTTTTCTCCTGTGGGTCTAGGTAGTTGCACCTCTAGGGCTCCTAAAAGTTAACTATATAACTCAAATTTTACATGTGGTGCCCCAAACTCCCAAGGACCTTTCCTCCTGAATGTCCCCTGAAGCCTGGGGTACTTTGTTCTAGGGGGCCTTCCTGCTAGCAGGTGGACTTTATACACAGAGCTGGCTATGAAAAGCAGGTACAGCCTATGCACAAGTATATTAGTAAGAATTCTGACTTGGTGAATCAAATGTCAGGGGCAAGTTGAGTTGGGTGCAAAAAGTAACTCCTAGCAAAATAACATTTGGCCAAACTGTTAACACCTGCCAGGGCAGAAACCATCAGACTCCCCAGCCCCAATCACTTCTGTTACACCCAAGTAGTTGCATGCAAGGCATCCAACCCTTCCTCTTTTGATCTACTGCCCCACCCTCGCCCCACGCTGGGACAGACTAAAGAAATGAGTCTGCCCCATGCCCTCCCAACTTCTGGCATTGTTTAAAATTCCCTCCAGTGGGCTACTGTCCTATATCTATGACCCCAGGACCAGGCTGTCTCTCAGCCGAGACAGCACAGAACCCTCTTGCCAGGGGACCTCATCGCCAAGGGACTCCCCTCACTTTGCCTATGCCTGAGCGAGGAACAGACCATTGAAGGACTTGCTGTTACTGGCTCAGGTGTGGTGCATTTTGACATCCAATGGCTTTCGATGGGAGAGAAGAGCAGACCCAGTAGCCGAGTTGGACTGTAATAATATTCCAGCAAAAGGAAACCTGAGCCTGTCATCATTCCATCACTACCCCAAAATGCATACACAACTCTTGACCCCACACCCATACCCTTACTTGGGCTACTGCCTGCCAGACACACCTGCTCTGCTTACTGGGTTGGTTAAGAAAACCAGCTTTGAAATCACAGGAACCTGGCTGTTAATTTCAACAAGCAGTCCTTAATAGCTCTGTGACCTGGAACAATTTCCTTAGCCTTTCTTTGCCTCAGTTTCCTCATCCATAAAATTATGATAGTAATACTTCATTAGGATGCTGTAAGGGACAAACAAAATACTCTATGTAAAGCTCATAGTACAAGGCTTGACACAAAGGCAGTCCCCAGGTAGTCACCCATCAAGGGGCAACTCAATTTATACTTCCTTCAGGAAGCCTTCTATGCCTACTCCCACTCTGAATTCTTCTGACTGCATTTTTGGTCAGTATCTCACTGTTGATCACGTATTTGTTCTCCATTGCATATATGTGCATTTTGATGTCCCAAGTAAGATATAAAGGTCCTTGAATTTGGTTCTCCCACTGAGTAGCTATGTCATCTTGCATTTAACTTTTTTGGGATTCCATTTCTCTCTCTGGCATGTCAAATAGATGATGTGCGTGCCAACATTTCCTCACACCACAGCCTTGGGAGACACCAGTATTCAATGATGACCCTCTCTTCCACCCAGAACCTGGGCCCAGACTCAGAATCCTTCTTAACACAGTGCTTTGGACAGCGTCTACTAATTTATTCAATAACTATGTATTAAGTACTTACTGTTCAGTATTCTGGAGATAAAATTTTGAATGTCTCGTCCCTGCACTTTTGGAACTTGTCACCTAGTGGGGAAGAAAGACAATAAGCAAATATATAAATAAGAAAATACCAAGTAGTGATAAGTGCAAAGATGAAAATAAAACAATGGTGTGTTAGTGTCTGGGGAGAAGGCTACTATAGATTGAATGTTCAGACAAAGACTTTCTGAGGCCCCTAGAGATTTTGATCCAGTAGATTTGGTGTGGGCCTAGGAATATGTATTGTTAATAAGCAAATGTAGAAAGTTTGGGAAGCACTGGCACAGTGAGTAAGAGGACACAGAGTCAGAAGACCTAGGTTCAAATCCCATTTCCTATCTGTATGTAATTGTGTGACCCTGGGAAAGTTATTAAGCTTCTTTGAGCCTCAGTTTCCTTATCTGTAAAACTGGAATAATACTACTGATCTCAGAAGGTTGTTATAAGGATTAAATAAGACAAAACAGATAAAATAACTGGCACATACCAGTTGCCGTCGCGTCGAGTTGATTCTGAGTAATAGTGATCCCATGTGTGTCAGAGTAGAACTATGCTCCATAGGGTTTTCCGTGGCTGATTTTTCTGAGTCGATTTCCAGGCCTTTCTTCCGAGGGGTCTCTGGGCAGACGCAAACCTCCAACCTTTCAGTTAGCAGCTGAGTGTGTTAACCGTTTGCATCATCCAGGGCCTCTACCTGGCACGTACTAAGTGCCTAATAAAAGATAGTTATTACTTGCAATGATAGGTTCATCTATTCTTAATTGTAGTCTTTTGTCTGATTACTTAAAAGACAAATCCAACAGATGCCACTTACTAGGTAACATGGCCTCTGAGTTGGCTTTTTCCTAATAAAGCTCTTCCTCTTGAAAAACAAATTTGCAAAAGACATTCTCGTGAGCCAGAAGACCTGTGTCCCAGAGCAAGTGTCCTGTGACTCTCTAGTTCAGGCAGGTTTGAGATTTGGAAGGGCTTTGGCCTCATTTCCTAACATCAAATGGGAACCTGGCTACCTGGCCTATCTAACTTGTGGGGGTTTTCTGAGACTCAGAGTGATGTGAGATTTGTAAATGGTGAGGCACAAGCAGAACTCTCGCCTTCTCAGACTACGGAGCATCCGCCCAAGAGGCCACAACAGCAGGGATAAGGACTTCTGATACCCCAGCCCCACACACTGGGAGTGGGAGCCACTCCTTCATATTTACAAGCTGGGCTGGCACATGAAGACTTAAAAAAAAAAGTCAGGCAGGAAGCAGCCTTTTCAACCAGCGAAGAAACAGAAGAAACCGTTAGAATCCACCTCTTTGCCCTGATGCCAAAGCTCTTTCTGCCCCACCCAGCCTGCACTATCGAGGACACTCACTCCTATCAGAAAGCCCCGGGGGCATTTTTCCCTAGTTTATCAGGGACCTTGTGGAAACATTTCTCTAACTGAAGATAAAGGATTTTTTTTTCTCTTTCCTTTCTACTTCTAGCTACCTAAACAGAAGGGTTCCCTGTCATTTTCTTTCAGGAACCACGGTTCTGAAAAGAAGATATATTTCAACCTGGACTTGAAGAGAAGCAAGTAAGGTAGGTTGCATTCATTCATCTTTCCCTCATTTGTTCGTTCATTCATTCAGCAAATATTTATTGTGTGCTTACTACTTGCTGATTCTATGCTAAAACTCAATTCTGAGCAGAATAGATAGGAGCTTGTAGTCTTTGGGGGAGCCAGATAGTATTTAACAATCACAAAATGTAGAATTACAAATTGTGAACTAAACTTTGGGTGAGAGCATAGAATACTGGGTCCTGATCTGGTCATAGGGGCCAAGGGAGACTTCTCCAAGGAAGTGACATTTTTGCCAAGAGAGTGGATTTGTTAAATCTTGTAGATTTAACTCTTGCCCTCCAAGTGGGTGTTTTCAGGGTTAAAAAGATGCCTCATGGCCAGAAGCCTGGCTGCCATTCCAGGACAATCCTATTTCTGAGACCAAGTCACGACTGCTCGACCCTCATGAAGGTTAGGATGGAAATGACTTATTGGAGTGATAGAGAAGGCAGCATAAACCTGCCAGGACCTCCTTCAAGATTCAGTTCACTTTGCGAAAGTTGGCAGATGAAAGATATTTCCAGATGGAGGGCCACGCAGGAAATACAAATGGAATATATTTTTAATAGCTCTTCCTTTGCAAGATATGACTCAGGCAGCCTTCTGCAATATGATGGGAAGCAATGTAGCCTGAAAACACAAGAGGAGGCGAGCTGGCCCACAAGCAGCCCCCAGGCCTTTGGAAAGGGGCTGTATCCTGAATAAGCATGAAAAGTGCTCTGCAGATGAGACCCCCACGCCCACTGTTACCACTGCCCAAAATAGATCCTGTGCCTGTTACGATCCAACTCTGGGACTCCCCGGAGAGGACAAATATAGAAACACCGAGTTTCTTTGAGGATGTAGTTGTGTACATCATGACAAACTGTAGCCTTTTTCTCTGTCCCTGGAGCCAAGTGGGCTCCTGCAAAGAAGGTTGTCTGTAAGTCAGGGACTGGCATTGCTCAGGAAGAGCTAAGCAAGCAGGGATTACCATTGAATGTCTCGGAACTCATGGGTCTGGTTTTACCATAATGCTGGGGTTGTTAAACAGATCCGCAGATAAACCTGAGCAGGTAAGAACTCCCTGAAACTATATGCAAAATTATGCAGTGGGCCCAGAGGTGCGTCTAGGGCATGGTCTTTAGCTTTTACCAGGTTTTTAAGAGGTCTGAGACCAACAGTGCCATCCTCAGTACCAATTCTGGGGTCCCAGATAGGGAGACCTTCTTTACCAATGTAAAGACCTTCCCTGCACAGGTCAATGTGAGTCTAGGAATTGGACTGATTAATCCCACAATTGATGGCATGGATTTGATATTTGAAGGTTTCAATGCAAATGTAATTACGAGTGTTTCAGTGTCCTAGTGCTGCCATAACAAAATACCACAAAGTGAGTGGCTTTAAAGAACAGAAATCTATTTTCTGGCAGTTCTGAGGCTTAGCGGTCCAAATCAGGATCTCAGCCATGTGAATTCCTTCTGGGGACTTTGAGAGAGGAACTGTTCCGTGCCTCTCTCCACATCCTGGTGGCCACTTGCAATCCTTGGCGTTCCTTGGCTTGTAGGGGGATCCTTGTCTTCCCCTGTGTGTGACTGTATTTCTGTGTCTGTCCTCTTTTATAAGACCCCACTCAGAAGGGATTAGGATTAGGACCCACCGTACTCCAGCAGGACTTTGTTAATTTAACTGATAACATCTGCTAAGAAAAATCCTATTTCCCCAAACAACATCACATTCACGTCACGTTCACCGGTGCAGGGGCTATGACTTCAATATATCTTTTGGGGAGCACAATTCAGTTGATAACACTGAGTATCTCCAAATGTCTTCAGATTTATATCAATGCTGTGGGAACCAGCAAAGATGCAAATCATGGCCTCTCCAACAACGCATGGCATTTTTGAGGTGGCAAGATGCTGCACACACGTGGAATCATTGCATGTAAGGGTCCAGTGAGGCATCTAACCAGGTCATAGAGCCCGGAGCTGGGAGAACTCAGGAAAGGACCGGCTATCATGAGCTTCAGTGGGCAGAGAAGCCTTCAGACGTCGCTTGAGCTGGGTCCAGGTTGATAGGCAGGATCTGGAGAGGTAGAGAGGAGTGGGGAGGATTTTGTACTAACTGAAGTCATCATTGCCATTTGTTGAACACTTACCATGTGCCAGGCACAGTGCTATGCCTGCAGCATACATGATCACAGTTACTCCTCCTAACCCTATATTTATCATCAGCCCTGTTTTATCACTGTGGGCACTGAAGCTCAAAGATTTGCCTAAGATGACCCCGGTAGCAGTTGTGAAACAGAGACTTGAAACCAGGTTTATTAATCTTTGAAGCCTCTGCTCTTAAAAACTCTACTATTCTATCACTGAAGTTTTGAAACACTAACAAGCAGACATTCCAGATAGAACAGAATAAGACAACGTACAGAAATGGGCACGAGCAGGGTGCTTGAGGTAAGGAAGGAGAGTAGCTGATTGGGAAGGTTCAGGCTCTAGGGTTGTGAGATATGAAGTTGGAACGGGCCAGATTAGGGGGCACCTTTAGTGGAAGTTTGGGGAGTTTGGTTTTGATCTACTAGAATGATAGAAACATAGGTAAGCTTCAGTTTTAACCTTCCAGTTCATCTCTTCCACAGATGAGAAAATGAAGGTCTTGAGAGGTTAAGCAACTTGCCCACGCTCACAGGCAACAGGGAGCCATTGCAAATTCTTGAGCAGGGTGGTGACAGTGAAGAAAACAGTATTCCAGATAGGTGAGTTTGGCAGTAAGATACATGAGGGGCAGCTGAAGGGAAGCAAACTGGCAGAGAAAAGCCAACAGCTCTTTCCTTGGATTTTGCCAAAAGACATCTCAGCAGTGGATATTTCTAGGGAGCATCCGTCACGGATTGAATTGTGCCCCTCAAAAATATGTGTCAACTTGGCTAGGCTGTTTTTCCCAGTATTGTGTGGTTGTCCTCCATTTTGTGACCTGATGTAATTATTCTCCATTTTGTGATGTCTTGTATTATGATTTATGTTAATGAGGCAGGATCAGTGTGGGGTATATCTTGAGTCACAGCCTTACAAGAGGGTGTGACTCAAGTCATCACCCTTACTTAAGTCACCATCCTTACTTACGTCACACCCTTACTCAAGTCACACCCTTGCTTGAGTTACACCTTTTGTCTTACAAGAGATAAAAGGAGAGAGAAGCGAGCAGAGAAGAGAGGGACCTCACCACCGCCAAGAAAGAAGAGCTGGGGTGGAGCACATCCTTTGGACCTGGGGTCCCTGCACTGAGAACCTCCGAGACCCAGGGGAAGATTGATGCCAAGATACACAGAGATCTCCAAGGAATATCAGGCCCATAGATGTTGAAAGGAGACAAGGACCTTCCCCTACAGCAGACAGAGAGAGAAAGCCTTCCTCTAGAGCTGGCATCCTGATTTCAGACTTCTAGGCTCCTCATATGTTTGTAAAAGCCTCCCACTTGTGGTATTTCTGTTATAGCAGCACTAGCCAACTAAGATGGCGTCATAGACAAGATTCCAGCTCTATCTTTCCCATTGAGGTCTGTAGCTTAGGAAGATATGGAGACCGAGAAAGAGAATAGGGGCAAGTCATCAAGAAGGTCACTGCCAGGCTCAGTGCCCTCAGCTAGGCATCAATGGTGGAAAACACATCTTCCCCAGCCGTGGCCTGGTTCCTCTCCCTCTCCTTCTTCCAACAGAAACCCAGTCTGGGGTGCAGTGTGTCAGACTAGAGGCCTCCAACTCTGAGGAGATGGTGGCCAGGACAGGCTCCTGGCACCATCTCCGTATGCTGCCTTCCTGAGCATGAGACTGGGCCAGGCCTCGGTGATCCTAACCTACCTGCCCCCTGGGGGGTCACCAGAGCAGGTAAGGTAAGGCAAGAGCTCCCCTACCAGAGGCAAGGGGCTGACTCCATCCTGTTTGGGCTGAGCCCTCAGTGAGGCACAACTCCAGTTATCCCTCTATGTCCAGCCAAGGAATGCCTGCCCTGCTGCACTACCCTCCTCTGAGTTTCTCTTTGCTTAATTAATTCTAATAACAGCTGCCATCCGTTGAACATTTACTTCAAGCCCATCACCATGCGAAACATTTTTACACGCATGATCTCATTTTATTCCTACAGCTCTGTGAGGGAGTATTATCCTCATTTTACACATGATAGAATCGAGGCTCAGAGGTGTTAAATAATTTGCCTAAAACCACATAGGGTTTATGTGCTTGGCTGCTAAGCAAAAGTTTGGAAGTACAAGTCCACACAGAAGCGCTTCAGAAGAAAGGCCTGGCAATCTACTTCTGAAAAATTAACCATTGAAAACCCTAGGCACCACAGTTCTATTCTGACACACATACGATCATCATGAGTCAGAGGATGACTTGATGGCAACTGGTTTAAAGGAGCCAGGACTCAAACATCAGCCTGTCCATCTCTAAACCCTGTGTTTCACCTATATGATGGACTGTGTTCTATACCTTAGTTCACTGCAGCCATGTCTCCTTGTGTGGGAGGGGGCCCTTGTTGTTTCCTGATACCATCCATATTTGAAGTTCCTGGGAACCAAGAACCTGACCTCTTTCCCAAATCAAAATCTTCGGACAGAATCTGAATGGTGTCTGGGCTCTTACTCTTCTCCCAAAACTGACATTAAAGAAAAACAAGAGACCTTCAAGTTGCTTCACAACTTTTACCCAGAGAGGGTAGTGCAGCATGCTTTGGCCAAGGGGGCAAGGCTGCCATTTGGACATTCATTCTCTCCATAAATATTTATTGAGCACCTACCACGTGCTAGGCACACTCTAGGTGCTGAAGACACAACTGGGAACAAGTCAGAAAGAGTTTCTGCCTTCATGGAGTTTACATTTTACAGAGAAGAAAGGCCAGAACAAAACACAAAAAAAAACATACAAAGTGGTTGTCTTAGTCATCTAGTGCCGCCATAACAGAAACACCACAAGTGGATGGTTTTAATGAAGAGAAGTTTA